AGCCCTACAACGTCCAGAGCCAAATTCTGTCAAATTCGGTTCTTTTAAATTCTTTCACTGACAGAGAAAGACCCCGACTCAGTGTGGTCAAAGCTCAAAAAATCATCTTTATTCTACATTTCCGGAAAAGGAGAGCTGCAGACTCTAGCAAGCATCCACAGGTCTAAAGCATCACAAGCCAAATGCGTATATATAGTTCTGCTATACGTCACACATAGTCACACATAGTTTTGATCAAAACAACTCTGCAGTGCACTCTGCCTAGTTTCATTTTCTGTCCACATCCTGTCAGCCTCTCACCTAGTTTATACTCAAAGTTGTCCCTCTCTTAAACTGGAAGCAAACTATATTAAAAACAAGCACTAACAATATATATTTATTCTGTAACAACACAAACATGTATAAAGTTTACGGAGGGTGAAGTGTTTTACTTTCATTGCACTAGCATAAATCGAGCCATAAACTTAACTTAATAAGACAAATAGGCTTGCCTGGGCCATGTAACTGGCTGATGAGGCTTTTTGCAGTTAGACCATTTCTTTCATTAAAACATATTAATGAAGTTACGACAGAGTTGTTGTTTCCATCTGTTTTATAATTTGATACATTTCTATGGTTGCAATGAAAATGTAATTAGCAATAACTGGCAAGTAACTAACTGTTATAATAATTATCTGGCTACAAAATATTACAAAATAATGAAAAATCATTAAAAAAAAAAACCCAACAACACCACAATTTAGTCCAAAGTGGGAATGAAAGTTTCATAGTAGGATGACATTTTTTAGAGTGATACCAAAGTATAACCAAATTTCTGTAACGTTTATTATGTGTAGATATTTATGAGTTAATACTAAGATAAGACAGTGCAGTTTAAAAATAGCTTGTTTGCTTGGATAAGCTGGTTGTGTTCTTTGAGGGAAGTTGCAGAGTGCCCTCTAGTGGGCAAACAAGGGAAAATCAAAATGCATAACACTGTTGAAGGGTGTTTCTCCTGTCTCTTCATTACATTTTTATTTTCATATTAGCTGTTGCAGATTTGATATATGGTCAAATAGCTAACATTCGCTGATACACTGACGAAGCCAAAAACAATTTTCACAGAATATTACGCAGAAAACGAGGCTCTCAGCACTCTCTGCAGCACATGCAGCAAAGTCGCATTTGTGGAAAAAAAATTAAAGTTAAATGTAACTGGATTATGAAATGTATTGTAGTAAATTTAAACAAAAAAAATCCCCCATCCTTTTTTTCTGTTGTAAGAATATTAGCAGATACATCAATATGAGCATTTTTTTCTTCTTAAAAATCAATACATCAACTGTTAGTCATCCATTACTTATCAGGCACAGATTTGTTTACCGCTTTAAATATATGTTGAGGATTAAGAAGTAAAAGTACAGAGTAATCAGAGTATCAGAAATGGAAATTCTTTTCAGAGCCATTTCAAAGTAGTAACATCCTTAAAAAAATATTTTAACATTTGATCTGAAAGAGGGCTTAAAACTACTTCTTAGGCTTTAAACTGCTACAAAAATATACTGGTCCAACTTTTCCACATGTGAGGTGTGCAAAATGTATCTCATCTCTATTACTAGCATATTTACATTTTATACCACGTGAAATGTTCCTGAATTTACTCAGCAAATGAATGTATAGGAGTGTGTTAATAAGCACGTGTTATCAAAGAGAAGGTATGATCTGTTTTAAACTAAAATGCAATTTGAATTAATTTCTTTTAAAGAATTTGTTAAACAAATTTCGTCACTTTTTAAATTATTCATTTTTGTCATCTTAGTATATTATTTTGTTTAATTCAATTAATTTTGAAACAAACAAACATGTAAAAGGTGGAGAAAGTAGTAAGTAAGTAATTTTTGAAGCTGCAAGTACTTTCAATTTAAATGGACAAATAGCATGCTTTATTATGTATTCTAAAGATTTTTTGTTTTGTTAATATTTTCATAATTTTACGTTGGCTGCACCATGTGCCCTGGAACGTAT